TTCTTATGCATATTTCATGTCAGATTGCCTTGGTAGCTTTATACCCACTATGTGGCTGCGCATGGTGCGAACCTTAACAATGTGCCTACCTGTCGGAACTCGCTACCTGGTTTCTACTGACCCCAGGAGACATTTGATCGCTGTTTGGGGAGACTTCGTGCACAGTCTTCGTGACCGTGCTAGGCTCAAAAGGTGGTTCCATGTATTCAGTGTGGTGCAGGCTACGACTCAGTCACCGCCTTGTGTACGTCTGATACGCTTGATTCCCAATTTGTTGGTCCCGTAATCGTAACGTAACGAACTTGTCTTATACTCTGATGGCGCAGGTTCGAGTCTGCGTAAGTGCAGCGCGGCCCTCGCAGTGTCGTTAGCCCACGTGCAACCGGTGATAGTTGCGCGGCAGCGAAGCGTCGGTGCTACGTACCGGTGTACTTCTGATGCTATGAGATTGACAGGAATGCTACTGCTGTGTATATTGAAAGATCGTGGGCCGGCTTTGTTGACGAAACGTGTCTCCCATCTATGTGCCTCCCCGTTTTATTTTTCTGGTTTACCATGTACATGGGTTGAATGAAAACTTTTGAGATTCAACGAAACCAAGCAAGATACAGAGTCTTCGATGCTTTTATTTTTCAACGTACTAACCCTTACACCGACACACATGCTCCAGTCTTATTGAAATGCCTTTATCCCAGTGAAAAAGCACACTTCATATTACGACTAAGTACGCTTCTGCTGCTTCCATGACGTTACTGTCATTGAGAAAACATTTGCTAGCTAAGCTTTTTTCCGGTTTCGAGATGGGTGGATGTCAGAGAGAAACAGGTCTGGTGAATCGGGTGGGTGGGTATGAAGCTGGAACCCGCAACCATGGGTTGTTTTCTGCTTAATGGCTGGAGCATTGCAGTTGTTACAAATGACTACTCTCCTCAGCATTTCTGGCCCCTTTTCTCGATTTTTTCTCTGCAATGTTTCAGAAGCTCACATTTATACTTTCCGGGGATGGTAAGGCCTCTTTCAAGGAAATCAACTATCACCACACCTCGGGAACCCTAAACCGGATGCCATCCCCTTGCCAGCTGACGGTGTGACCTTGGTCTTCTTTGACGTAGATGATGCACGCTTCCAATGCTTTGATTGTTCTTTTCTTTCTGCTTGAAATTTGTGAACCCAACTATCATCCATAGTGATGAATCGTGCAATAAAATCCTCTGCATATGCCCCAAACAGTACCGGATTTTTCCTTGACATCACATGTCGAATGCGCTTCTGCACAGCAGTCAAAAGACGTGGCACCCATCGGGCAGAAACTTCTGAATAGCCTTACTCCTTCGTCAGAATATTATCTTCCCGCTCCTGGGAGGTTCCCAACCTCTGTTACCTGACCAGTTGTTAATTGCCGATCTTGCATGATCGCATCATGTACTAAGCCATGCTTTTTTGATGGTGGCGATTGATGGTCTCCTTGACCTGGACTCATCTCGAATACTCCCTGCTGCGCTTAAACTCATGCATCCAACGTTTAACTGTGACACATGAAGGGGCATTGTTATGCAATGTATTGAGCATATCTTGGCGAATTTCAGATGTTGACATTCCTTTCATCGCAACGAGATTGGAACTTATTGTGGTGCGACGGTTTGCGTACCTCCTTGGTTCAGTGCGCTATAGTGGGTGATGCCTCCGGTCCGCTTGATAGTTACTCCTACCAGGTTGGCCAATGGTTAGAGATCAGACATACTCAGTCTGCTGGTCCTCCAGGGACAGGGGTTTGAGCCAAAGGCTGTTTGAGGACCTACTCGTGCACCGGTCTAGGTCGGTGCGCCCTGACGGTATCTCAGCACTTATACAACCATGACAATTTCCCCAAACTATAGTCCTACATCGGCCGTCGCGCATATTATCAAGGCTTGCCTTATCCGCTGCATACAGCAGGGCGGGTAAGTGAACACATGCTACTGCTGGCGCCTCCTTTCTTTTCTACCTGTTTCCCTTACTCCCATCCCCACCCCCTTTACTAACCTTCCTTCTATAATTCCCAGCTTAATTGGCAGCAACCGAAGTGTCACTGGGGTAGAACCACCTGCAGCCACCTTCCCGCAACACCTACCGGACGTCTATCGGCAACGGCACCTTATGAGTCCATGCTTCTCGGTTTCCCTGGTGGCGTCCGACGTTCTCACTCTAAGACAAATAGGTCAACAGGCTGCGCTCGCACACACCTTGAATACACTGGATATTTTCGTGTGTTGTCTGTCCGAAACAAGGATCTATGACCCTCATGCGGTTGTTGAATTAACTGTACCCGGTTTGTCCTCTCGCTATTAGTTGCACGCATCCGGAGACTCTGATGCAGCACCCACGGGTCAAGCTGGGGTAGGTATCATTCTCAACTCCAAGGCTGAGCCATCGTTGGTCGATCGGATTCCGATGAACAGTCATTTGTGTGCCCTCCGTTTGACGACATCAACTAAGGTAGATTCACGAAGTAGTACAAAACCCTGTTGGTTTGTGCTTTCCGGTTATGCTCTCACCGACTGCAGTTCTAATGTTGTCAAGGACACATTCTATCACAAACTGAACGGGCTACTATGCAGTGCTACTAGTTCAAATATAGTAATTGCAGGGGATTTGAACTTACAAGTCGGGCGTCTGAGCTCTTCAGAAGCTCAGATGGGGGTAATCATGGCCTTAACTCCGTGAGCGTCTGCTGCAACTGTGGGCGGAGCACCAGTTGTTTCTTAGTAGCACTGCTTTTAGACAGTGGGCGCCGAAGTGCCGTTTGGCGTCCTCCTGTAGCTGGCCAGCGATGGACCCAAATTGGCCACATAGCCATAATTTACAGATTGCGCCCTTCCATCCTGGATTGTCGCTCATTTTGGAGTACTTACATCGACTCTGATCATACATTGGTACGCTGTCCTTTTTCCATGAAGTTTACCGGGAGGCACACCAAGCTTCCCCTCTATTGGCAACGGAGAAATTGTCTCAGCCCTCGGTCAGGCAGGCCTATCAAGACGCACTGCGTACCGAGTTTTCGCTGTCTTGTACTGTTGACACTGAGCTACAGTGGAATGGTGTTGCTGCAGGACCACCAGCCACTTGATGATCTCTTGACCCTAGATAGCGAGGAACTCTAGGTTGTTGAGTATTTCAGTTTTACCTTGGCAGCTGTATCAACAAACAATGCGTATCTAGCTACTGAGGTCGGCTCGCATATTGCAAAAGTCTGAGCTGCCTTTTCAATCTGTGACACCTTTGGCGACAGAGGGGAGATTTCTTCCCCTGAAACACTGTTTAAAAGGCCACAGTGAGGGCCGTCCTGCTCTGATGATCTGAAGCGCCTTCAATTTTTCGATCACCATTGTCCGGAGCATTGCTGGTCTCGGGTGGCACCAGCGTGTCCGCAACGATGATGTGCGTAAAGTGAGTACTAGGCAGTGATAACCAATCTAGTTCCTTAGAACAATAGATAGCACTGCATTAGTTGCGTTGGCTTGTGCACGTACTACGTATGCCCGGTCTCCGCTTACCTCGGAGGGCCTTATTTTGCCTGCAAGCTGTAGGTTGGCGCAAGGCCCGAGGTGGGCAAGAATTAACTTGGCAACGAGAAATGAAGTCACTGACGACCAAACTAGGTGCCGTCGGTTCGTCTCGCCTTCCATTTTGAAGCCCACTTTGTTAGTCTTTTGCTTGGCTTGAGCTGTTACGGAACATAACTCATATTCCACACCAGTGGCGCGTCTGCTGCTTTCTCCTAGTTGGACTGCCTGTTTAAGGTGTGTTTAGTGCTGTGTTTGGGTAATGGCCGATTATGACGCGGGGCAATGTAAGCCGCAAGGAAGATGTCTCGCCGATTCTGTCTTATCTTTGCACGATAGCCAGCTGTTTGTGACGGTTTGTTGTTGCCCGATGTAGGCGCCTTGACCTTGTGTCTTTGCTTGGGGCATTAAGTTTTTCTGGCAAATCCCCCTTTTCTTCCTCTTATTATTCTGTATTCCGTATGTCATCATGGATGTATGGCTGCTATTCATCAGTTCAAGTGGCTGATGTACGGCTGTTGTTGACTATGATGATGTTACTTTGGGGTGGATAAGTTTGATCACCGCACAACACTCTAATTTCTCCATTTTCACCAGATTGCAAACCTTGTTTAATTTAAGAATCTGCTGAAATTAAACTAAACCACTAAAAATATGCAGTTGCATAAAATGAATAAGTAAAAGTGTTAGATTATCAAATACGTTATTTGGCTGGCCTGGCTATCTGATTTCGGTGTTAGGCTCAAAACTTTTTATTCAAGCCCCGTATGTACATATGCCGCATTCTTGCAAGTAAGGTCAATCCGGACTTATCCTGTCTGTTTTTTCCCACTGTGTTATCTAGTCTTCGCGGTACTCCGTCAAGTTGCACAAGTTGCCTTCCAATCGGAGTAAGCCAGATATCCGTCTCTCGCGTCCAGTTATTGAACGCTGGCACTTACTTCCGGAGGCTGTGGTTGGCGCGTCTTTGGTAACAAGCTTTGAGAGCCAGTTAGATGCTCTGGGCTAGTAATTTCGAATATATCTCTCCCTCTGTTTTTTTGCAACGCTTCCTCTTATACTTCTCTAAACGTACTTTCCTTCTTTTTATCTGCATTCCTGTTTTATTTCATCTCAACGGCACAGCAGCGATTGCTAGTGCCGGATACATGAGCAATAATTACTTGACCGGGATGTAGATCGGATCTTCCGTTTTAGGTTTGCCACGAATCCCCAGTTCCACGACGCACTCAGGAGGGAACACTAACGAGATTTTCCTATCATTCCAGCCTAACTTGAACTTGGCTACCGGCTCGCCATTTCCCGCGTGGGTACGCATCAGCCATTTATCGCACACCCAGTTCTCCATGGGCAGTTATTACGTCATCCGGCTAGCCGTCATTCATCCAGTTTCGTCTCTTACTGGGTGCTTGTGATGAAACTATTCAGATGCCTACGAAATGTCTTTTTTGCACTTCAGCCCCTCATATCTATTACGACCCACGTACGCATTGGTCAAAAAGCCCTCGGAATCCTCGATCGGACGCATACTACACTCCGACCTTGTAATATCTCATAAGCTCGCAATGCCTTGAACGCGTGCGCTTATATCAACATGGACCAAAGTCTCTCAACGACAATCGAGCTTTCAATTATGTGCAGGTACATCATATTCCAATTATAATTATAGTTAACCTTGAAGGAACCTCTGCGACACTGACATCTTGTCAAAATCAGATCCATGTGAGTACAACGAAGTTGTGTGACTCCCTATCGGTTCCAGTGGTGGTGGTCTTCGAAAAGAGTTCTATAACTTCTTGGAAAGAAGTTGGTCGTACAGAAGTTATTCAAAATACTTTAAACCCCGATTTTGTTAAAAAAGTTATTCTCGATTATCACTTTGAAGAACAGAAGCGTCTTAACTTTGTTGTGTATGTTTTTTGTGCCCAACTTACTACCTCAAACATAGGTACGACGTCGATTGCTCATCTGATATTTTGAGCAAGCATGTGGGTGGCAATTTACAACTTACCTGTTTTCAAACCAGGACTTTTTGGGCAACTGTGAAGCGACCTTGGGTGAGATCGCATCTTCCGGCAAAATTAAAAAGCCACTAAAGTATCTATTTAATTCACCAAAACTCGTCTTTTAGAAACGGACCGGCAGATTACTGTGGGGAAATCATAGGTGAGTAAATCAGTATTGCCATCATCGAGCAACTTATTTTTTGTAAATTCCAATAGTTTTGGCAGAGGAACAAACAACATGTAAAGTCTGTTTTGTAATCTAATTTCATCCGTTTTCTCAGGATGAGTTAACTCTTGATATTTCCGGCCAAACACTCGATAAGAAAGATTTATTCGGTACCTCGGATCCCTTTTTGGCATTTTATAGAATTAACGAGGACGGCAGGTTAGTACCTTTTTTGCATATTGCCTTGTGGATCGCTGCTGGTTACTTGGCGATAATGTTGTATTATTAATTGGTCCATATCCCTTGTACTCTCTCATCACTATTCTCCGTACATTTTATGTGTACATGAACGCACACAACTGTATATGCAGATATGTCTGGTTGGTGGCATCCGATTCCCCGACTTGCTTCTCACTGCTGCCTCCTTAGGACAACCCCTAGACGCCTGCGCCCACAGAGGAATCATGGGGGGCTTGCGCTACACCACCCACATCCCCATCCACACACCCCATATCCAGTGTAAACCCTAGGGAAGAAGACCGAGTGGCATGTGGATGGGAGTCACGTTTCATCAATGTAACCAGCCCACACTCCTTTAACAAACAAAGCGGAAACATTTCTGATTCACTAAACATTTGAACCGAAATAGAAATCTGCACGACTGTTCCACTCCATCTGTTCATTCTTAGATCACTAACCAGGACGCAAAAGTTCAACCGTGATCATGCAGAAAGTCAATTTCATCGCCAAATGGTAACCTGGCGACTACTCGGTCTGCCCGATTCTATTAGAGCGGATAGTGCATAGCACTGCAAAAGTTCACAAGATTACAGAGATGCGACATCTTTCCCAAAATACTTACGACCTCAACGTCACGAACTCCGTGCTATCACTGCACTCAGGTGCTCTCGCGCAAATAACCACTGTCAAGGGCCAGTATCTGAAGCGCACATGAGCCAACACTGATTTGCTTTCATACGGCAACACTGCATGATCGACAGCGTTACAAACCTGTCTTTTACCGGGACTGGAGATCTCGGAGACTCTACAATTGTTCCAGGTTAGGAAACGCTGACTTGGCTTCCGCGATGCTTAGCTGTATCTTCTTTGAATATCGTTATCGGTAGGGACGTCGCTAACTAGGTATGTATACTGTCCACTTGATTAAACCATGGACGCTCAAGTGTGAATGCAAGAACATGTGAGTAGCGGTCTCGGAACAGCAATTCGCTCTCAATTGTGGCTTATATACCATATTTAAATGCTTCAAATCGCTTGGCGATTGAAGTTGAATGGCAATTTTTTATAAACGTCCATCGACTAAGACTCCCCTCCAAAGATTATTGATGGGGTATTTTCAGTTAGAAACCTGGTACTGAACGGACACATGATCTATCGGTTGCGCCCGGCTGCCTAGCGCAAAGCGTAAATGGGGCTTGATGTAAACCATCACTTTAATCTAGACCTTGAGGTATAGGGCTACAGTTTGTCCCAGAAGTCTTGTCCTTTAATACTCTGTTACTCGAGGACCAAGGGTCAATCCTTCCAGTGAAAGGAGAGCGCACTAAATTGCCAACTGTCCAACGATAGATGTTTGTCTATCTCAATAAGTCTCTCACCCGGTCACATGGCTGTGAACGACTGGAGTGATGAACGTATGCATCTGATTACGGGTGTACTTGCCAGTCTCGTCCATCGTGAAAACGCTGGATGGGTACGGATGGTTGAGTTGAAGTCAACTACGGCACACCAAAGGGCACGCTTACCGATCGATACATACCATGTTTCGGGCTGGTTGGAACAAATGCTAGCTTACGAACTAGAGACAGCAGTCCATCATTACCGGGGTACTGCGGTAGAATTGTGATGGCGCTTGGACAGGCCTAACTGACCTGAGCAATGAGTGTTCAATAGGTGCTTAGTGTTATCCCAGCTAATGACTAAAGGGTTATTGGCAACGCTCTTGTAGACTGAAAGTTAACTTCCAACAACCCACCTTAGTAAAATAGTCATTCCTTACATTTAGGCCTTGCAAATATGAAATGTAACGTTGTGAGAAAGGAGTCTTGAAAAGCTGTCCGCTTAAAGCCTACTCGCTGCCGCATAGCCTATTTGCCCGTCACAGTCTCGAGCGTTCATTTCAACATATTTACTGATGAGGCAATGTTCCATTAACATGCAACTGAGAATCTGCATTTTTAGGCGATATCTAATACTCGCGGATACTGAGATTCACGTATGTCACAAAGCGCGAAGCTCATTAGCTCAAAAAACGGATTGTCAAATCGTGGGACCAAAGCACACACATATTGTCCACCACAAGCCAGTTATCACTGTGGTAACTTTTCTGACACATAATGCTGCAAACGCCGATTACCAAACTCAAAAGGATTGATAAGCCACGCTTTCACGGTCTGTATTCTTATTGACAAATCGTTGGACCATCCTTCTTTCCCCTTTATGTGACCGGTATGTTATTGTTTAGAAGAACTCATCCCACGCCGGAGTCTGTACGCCGATAAACAGATAAAAATACGAAACCAACTAGCCTATCCTCACATCACCATCTCGTTCATATCCTCCCCGTATTCTTTAGACATAACCATGAAAAACACGTATTCCCATTGTGAGCCATGTTGTATAGAAGTGACCAATCTTAGCGTTGTCGAATCAGCTTTGCTCGTTGAATGCATTCTGGCCCAATGCACCAGTGGCACTATTTGGACGTGCACCAATTTAGTTCAAAAATCAGTGATAGTGGTATATGGTTGGCGGCATCCGGTTTCGGATTTGCCTGTCACTGTGGCCAGCCACAGGACGCCTGCGCCTACAGAGGGACCATGGTTGGCTTGCGCTGCACCACCCACAGCTCCATCCACACACCGCATATCCAGTGTAATCTCAAAGGAATAAGACCGGGAGGCAGGTGGATGCGAACCACGTTTCATCAATGGAGCCGGCCCACACTCCTTCACTGGCAAGCACAAGCACACTGTATTTGGGGAATCAAGTGCACACAAGGCGGTGGCTGGACCGTAGTCCGCTCCACACTGAGTGCATGGAATCATTCTTTGACCCTAACACAGCCACAAGAACCGTGCACCCTGTCCCCTCCAGCAACGACCAACTGTCTGCTAGAGTCAGTATGGACGAGGTAGTGGGTACTAGACAGGTAGGCATCTTGTCAACATGCACACACTGGGGATATCAAGCAACAGCCAATCACTTGAGAGAAAGCTAACAAAGAACGGAAATCGAGTAATGCATAAGGAAACGTGACAAAAATTTTAACTTAATGAGCATATGCAAAAAGTTGTTAACAAAGGATCCGAGATGAGTTCATGGGGTCAGAAAGTATATTTTACGGAAATGCCACAAACACGAAAATGTTGTCGAAATTAATTACAATTGGCTTAAGCGCTTGTGCAAATTTATAGAACAGAGTATAGGTAGGCATTTATATGATAAGGAAAAGCATTATGACCAAATTGAAAACCCACCATCTGAAATAAAGAGACTTAGCATGCAAGCACGCGGTTAGTAAATCGAATGCAGCGTACCTACAAACGCTGCGACGGTTTTGCCTACTTTCTCTGCATGATCCGTCGTCGCTTCGGTAGTGGTCCCGAGTGGCCTCGCTCATGGCTTACTAAGCCTGTCTGACTCAGGCACTCGCGACCGCATGTGCTACAGCACCATGCGCTTGATGTCGATGGAGAACAACCCATCGGTGCTTGCCGCTTTCGCACTTGCCGCTTCTTCTCTGCATGTATGAGGTCCTTCTTCCGCAATTCGGCAGCTGCCTTCGTGATTAGATCGCGCTATGCACGCCGATCAACCGCCTTCGATTCCCATGATCTACAATCAAGATTGGAATGTGAGAGGCTCACTTTAATCATATCCTGATAAGGTAACTTCGGTTTCCCCATATGACGCTTCCCTGTACTCAGCTGACCATATAAGAGTTGCTTCGGTATGCGCGTTAAGTCCAGACGGCTCACATAACCGATCCACCTCAGGTGTCTAAGCAAAAATATTCAGTCCACTGCATACATTCCCCTACGGCGCAACACTTGCGTGTCTGCAACTCTATCGCCCCAACTGATGCGCGAAATCCGTCGCAAGCGCTGCTGATGAAACCACTCAAGATATCGCACATCCCGACGGTACATCGCCCACGTTTCACTGCCGTGTAGAAGAACGGACAGCCCCATGCATTTCTATACCATCAGCTTTGTGCCAAGGGTAAGCTGATAGTTGTTCCACACTCGGTACTCAAGCTTCCCGAATGCCGCCGCTGCCTTCGAGACGCGGATGCGAAACTCAACGTGTATCTGCTTATCAGTCGACATCACACACCCAAGATAGCAGAAGCGGGAGGTGGTTTCCAATACTTCAGCACCAATGCTGATTCGCGGCAATATTGAAGATTGCACCTCCGGTGAAGGCTGAAAGAGACAGACAGTTTGCTTGTGTGATGGTGAGCCCAAATTTGGCCGCAGTTGAAGCCAGAGTACTAGTCATATGCTGCAACTCATCCGCGCTGTGTGAAAACAACGCACAGTCGTCAGCAAACAGCAAAATACAGATAGTTGTCTCACAGACTAGCGTTCTCGCACGGAAGCGACGGATGTTCAGCAACCCTCCATCAATACGGTGCTCCACACGAACACCGTAAGCACAAGCGGCATCTAAAGCACAAGACATCGTGGCATGAAGATAAATATTAAACAGAGCTGGAGCTAAGACACAGCCTTGCTTCACACCAGTGACAACTGCAAAGTCATCCGAGCTCTCTCCACTCAGCTGCACCCTCGCTCGCATATCACTGTGCAGACATTCAATTAAATTTACAAACTTACGCGGGCAACCAAACTTACCCAACACCAGCCACATTGCCTCGCACTTCACCGTACCAAATGCCTTGGTGAAATCAACAAAAAGTGAGCACAATGGCTGGTATGGTTCTCTGCACTTCTCCTGAAACTGACGATCTGCAAACAGCATATCAATAGTGCTGCGACCCGACGGAATCCACATTGCTCTTCCGCCACGTTAGGTTCCACAACCTGACTCACGAGGCGGTTGAGCAGGATTCGGGCAATCACCTTGCCCACACAACTCAACAAGTTGATGCCACGATAATTCGTGCAGCATTGCTTGCTGCCTTTGCCCTTGTACAGTGGTAGCACAAGGGCATGTTTCAGCTGAGGAGGCAC